TTTAAAAGGATTCCTGCATTCAAGAAGGAGAAGTGATCAGGAAAAAAAAAATGAAGAATCCCCATTCTAAAAAAAAAAATCCACAGGAAAAGTAGAAAATGGATGTCTGGCCATTCCAGTGCTTTCCAATGGTGAAATGTTTCAGTTGTGTGTGCAGTTATAGTAGGCCTAATTATACTTTTCTTACTACTAATAGATTGCATTTGTTTTGGGCATACTATCTCTACTTTAAATTAAAGGAGGGATTATTTGCTTACAGTTTTATTTGTATCTTTCTGGGAAGCATCAGTGGAAGTTGTTATTTTACTGTCCTTCAGAAACCAACATAGCTTGCATGGCTTTATACAAAACCTTTCACTGTCTCAACGGGGTACCCTTTCCCATTTGGGTGAAGTGAGGAAAATTAGTGTAAATAAAAGTATCTTTTTCAAGGAAACTTCAGATTCGAGTCTAAGTTTGGCTGTTTGGCCACTTGGCAAATAACCCTCTATATGTAGGGATATACATTAATCTGATGTAGTTCATTCTTAAATTTTGGCTTGTCAATTCTGGCTTCTCTCTTTCCTTTTTCTTTTTTTACTTTGACGGAGTCAAATGCTTTGCTTTTATTAGACTAAATGTACATCTTATGTTTGTGTGAAGCAACTCACTCCGAATCTAAATCAGTCAGTCAAGCTTTCTGAAAACAATTATCGTACTTCGTGTTTATTAGGTATCAAGATATTTTAGTAAAATCAGTTGGTCTACTGAGATATATTCCATACAGCGTCTGTATTAACAGATGGATGCACAAGCATTTGGCTTCTTATGTCATCTAAATGTGTTAATTAATGTGGGTTTAAGTTTAAGACGTTTCCAATGTTTTTAATATACTGAGAAAGGGAAAGTGAAGAAGGTGGAAGCGGAAAAACCTTGAGACATGTGGAGTGGAGGGTAAGGTATCAACACACACTAGAAATTCTTTTGTTTTTTGTTGCATAATACTCTAAAAAGTTTTGTGGTTCTGTAGTTCAACATTTACTTTGCATCCTATACACAGTGTCTGAAAATGCTTTTTAAAAAAAAAGTTGAAAGTGAACAAGCTGTGGCCCGATTGATCACATACCTAAATAACAAGGTCATAGCAAGAGCTAGAATCCTTACAGCAAGTAAGACTGGAATGGTCAGCGTTGCGGCGGCAGGCGGAGCCATGGCAAACGAAATGGGAAGCCACAGTCAACGTGTGAGGGCATTTAAAGGTTCTTGTTATCGATGTGGTGGACCACATATGGCTAAGTTTTGTAGTCATCGTGAGGGAGGTGGCGGTGAACAGCAAACCTTGCAAACCCTGACGAGAAACGAAGGTGCAGGTGAACCCCCTCCCAGGCGGTATCCTGATCGAGTCAGGAAAACCCCCGGTTGGTTGGTGGACTATGAAACTCAGTAAATGAAGTAATCAAGTGTACAAAGTGTAGATAGCGTTGAACCATGTCCTGTTCGCACGTTGAAGAACTAAATTTTGTTTTGTTTGATCTTGAGATCACGGGGGCGTGTGGTTAGCTGTGTGATTCTCGGGAAAGTAGTCGAGTACGGTTGACATTGAAGAAACCAAGGACAGGCCGAGGCGTGAGCCACGGACTTTTGAAGACTGCGTGAGTAGCGGTCGAGGCGCAGCGCAGAGAGTTGCGACGAGTCAGTGCAAGTTGGATCGCTACATGAGGTGGGTGTGTGTAGTAAAACCGTATGCATGTATAGTTAAACTACACTAACGCTCCTCTGGGACCCTGGGGATCCTAGGCTGTGTTCACTGAAGCACGAACCGACCCATTCTCACGAAGGGGTTAACAGTAGGGCTCTGTACAGCAGAAATCAGTGGCAGTGAGTTGTAGTACACTACGTATTACGTGATATGACCAAGTTTGATAACTATTTGGGTATGCATTCTGTACAACAAGCTATTTTAATCCAACTTTTGTCACACGGTCAGAAATGTTTTTGTTCTCTTTCTTTTTTTTCTCTTTGATAAAAATATGATTTGAAATTAAGCTTAATCCCAGACCTGTTATACCTGCAACACATCTCCATCACTCAATAGCTGGTGAATAAGGCCCAGAACCATGGCTCAGTGTCTGTGTGTCTTCCTCTGGGTAGAGTCAGACTCCTTTGCTATATCGTGTACTTGTTTGGTTGTGGAATCCAACATAACAGCCACTCAATCTATAGCATAATTCACTGTTGAAAGAACTAAAGTTGGTTGAAATGATAAATACAAAGAAACGTTCAAATCACTAAAACAGTCTTTATGATGTGAGATAATTACAAGAGATATTTTCATTCACTTCATTTTGGTATGGTAAGTTTTTCTAAGACCAGACGAAGTTCTCATTTTCACAAAAGAAAAGAATGACAATAAATTTTTTGTTTCACCAGTAAATGATCCCTCCATTATTTGTACCATGGTGAAGGAATGAAAAAGCAAATAAAGATAGACATGTGTAATAACAATATTTTCAAAAGAATCATTTATGTACATAAAATATTATTGAAGAAAATGAGCCATAACATACACGTAAATGAGAAGCATGCAATGGATAACAATTATAGTGAAATATCATTATTCTACTTTGTTTAGGAATGAATAGCGTAATTCAAAAGCAAGACTTAGGAATTATCTTAGCTTCATAAGCCACATACTAAAGGATCACACCTCATGGGTAACAATCTAGCTGCTCTCTGTGCAGACAGAAAGATCTGAGGAGAAATCAAAACTTTAGTATTGCAATCTATGGCAACGTTAATTTGATATACCAACAGTGCAAATGAGAACTATAGTTGAATGATTGGTGAAATATTGTTTTTCTTTGGTTGTAAAAGTCATGATATTAATGAATAATCCAGGATAATAATCAAGCACAATCATAAGTAGGACAATTTTACAGGGAGAGTTGTTTAAGCCTCTTACAGCAAAATAGTGCGTGTACCTAGACTCATATTGACTAAATTATGTAAAATTCTATTTTATGTGTCTTCGACATTGTGATAACATCGGATAAGTGACATCAGGTAAATTTATCAGGAGAAAGAAATAAACTGATTTATTAAAAGGACAGCTTTGAGCTATCTGATTTTCATTCTGTTGAAAAAGTCTACTCTTGGTAATTTATTTCAATATTAATTTTTATTCAACATAATAGGACACTTGCTTTGAAGAAAACGTTTCGTGAAAAAAAGCAATATCTAAAATTTTGTACTTATCCAATCTTATCACGATGGCAACAATGTGTGTGAGTGTGTGTGTGTGTGTGTGTGTGTGTGTGTGTGTGTGTGTGTGTGTGTGTGTGTGTGTGAGTGAGTGAAAGCGTGTGTGAAAGCGCGTGTGTGTGTGTGTGTGAGTGTGTGTGTAGTTTTACGCCAAAATACAACATAGGGCCTATCCATTTTTCTGGTAAAAAAAAAAAGGAAAACTTTGTTCTTCATCCATTTACTGAATAACTTGAGCAACGTACACTGTCTGTTTTTTTTTCTTTGAATAGCAGCTTCTCAACTTTGCTCAGATTTAAAAAAATAATAAGCTACCTATATGCTTCAAGTTCATCATATAGGGGCAACTTTTAAACATGAGAAACATTAATGCATTATTATATCACTTACAATAATTAGAAACGGAGAGACACACCAGCAAACTTTTGTCGATCTCAAGCGAAGTCACATGGCTTCAGGAAGGAACTTAATTGGCAAGTAGACAGTATGTTGTGCTTTGTGAATAAGGTTGACCACTTTTTGTCACACTTTGTAAAAAAAAGCATATATCTTACTGCAGTTCTTTAGAGGAAAATGGAGGTTTGAGAAAAAAAGAAGTTGACCCTGGAATATGCCTCACCTTTCTAGATACGACGGTCCTAGCTTTGACCTAACTTTAAAAAATGGTGTTTGTTGCCTTTTGTGGCGTCGGTGGCCTAGTGGTTAGGCTCCCGGACTCGCAACCGTAAGGTCGTGGGTTCGAATCCCGTCAAGGGTCCGACGTTGTGTCCTTGGGAAAGGCACTTTACACGAATTCTCCTCACTTCACCCAGGTGGGAATGGGTACCCAGATATAGACAGCGAAAGATCTTGTCAGTTTGTTAGTGTTTGAGCGCTTAATCGGCTGCTCGCACTGTATGCTTCCCGGGAAGCTGAGAATGTTTCGGAGTGTTCTATGGTCTGCTGGGGTAATAATATAGTGTAAAGCGCATAGAGCCTGCTGTTGAGCGGGGATATGCGCTATACAAATGCTATCTATTATTATTATTATTATTATTATTATTATTATTATTATTATTATTATTATTATTATTATTTTTGTCGTCAAACTGTTCATGTATACTTCAGTTCACACCTTAGTGTCACTTTTTAGATGAAAGCATAGATCTTCAGATCTCAAAATTTAAACAAAGGTAATAATAATAATAATAATAAATAGCATTTGTATAGCGCATATCCCCGCTCAACAGCAGGCTCTATGCGCTTTACACTATATTATTACCCCAGCAGACCATAGAACGCTCCGAAACATTCTCAGCTTCCCGGGAAGCATACAGTGCAAGCAGCTGATTAAGCGCTCAAACACTAACAAACTGACAAGATCTTTCGCTGTCTATAGCCGGGTACCCATTCCCACCTGGGTGAAGTGGGGAAAATTCGTGTAAAGTGCCTTTCCCAAGGACAAAACGTCGGGCCCCTGACGGGATTCGAACCCACGACCTTACGGTTGCGAGGTACATTCATTATATCTAAGAACATGATGGACCCAAATTTTTGATGATTTTCAGCTTTAGAACTGTAGATTTCGATATAGTTGTGCGTTCACTGGGGTATGTCCTTGAGGTAGACTATGATAACCCGACCTCAAAATCAGGGTGCTGCATAGTGGCGACCAACAGTGGTGTCTAGATTGCCAGTCTGTGACATTGTGTTTTATTCATGCTTTTATGTGCTAAACAATTGTGTATTTGTGTACGACACAGTAAAACAAGCTTCCCAAGGGGATCAATAAAGTAGAATTTATTCTTTTGTACAATTTTAATTTGCATTTAGTGGATATATTGCAAAATTTTAGTCACAGCTAGACTGTCGTCAATCAGTCTGGACTTTAGTGGCAGTGATAAAAATACAAACAAGATGGTCTACTCCCTAAGTTCTGGATTGTTATGCTAAAGGCACGTAGGCAGCTAGTATGTTACATTAAAAAAAATTCATTATAATATACAATACAAAAAAGAAAGATAAGACTCTTCAACTTTCTCCTTCTTTCTATCCATGACTCTCATGCTGTCACATGTAGGCTACACACACTCCATCATAGTCAGATTCATACACACACACACACAGACACACACGCATACACATGATGCACACTCACAAACACACAAAAATAAAGTTGATTTTTATGACAAAATAAAAAATACCCCATTCCATAATTTGCCATTGAAATTTCATAACACTCATTTTGACAGACACGTTCAATAATATGAAACCAACTAAATTTTCACTGATCACATTCAGTCCTCTCGGGGTTTGGTACTTCACTCTTTTCTTTCTTTCTATTGCAGTTGTTCTGTACTCACATCTCTCCTTCTCTCTTCCTCTCTCTCTCTCTTTCTCTCTTTTCCTTCATCTGTATTTTCATTTCCGTCGGAATATTATCTCATTAACAATTTACTTACTTGAGTAGTACAGCTTTACAGTAAGGGAGCATTTTCAACATAATCACCACATGTATCAAGGCCCTCTTTATGTGTGTATTTATTAATTATACCGGAAAATCTGTTTAACCTTTGCAGGAGTAAACTATCCTCCAAACATCTTATTTGATACATCTTGCTATTTCCAGTTTATCAGATCATAATATATGAACACAGTTACAACAAAAGCAGAAGGGGAAACAGTCATTGAAGTAAAACCCAACCTCCACGGCATATGTGCATCAAATGTAAACCCCATAGCAAAAAATGCCCCAAAGTCACACTGTATCGGCATGATAGTATCTATAACTTGTGATAAGGTACCTTTAGGTAGATGTATGTGGGCATTATACAATGGCTAGTTTCTCCACCATGCAAAGAGTCAAAGTGTTAAAAATTCAAGAAAAGTTTATTTTGGTGACTTCATTTTAGTGTTTAAAAAAAAAAAGTATTTTAAAGAATAGAGAGTCCTTAGAGCAACACATGGGACAGAATTTCTTACCATGAACTTAAAGATGAAGCAAAATTATGTGGTTAATTAAGCAAAGGTGTTAAAATAGTGGACTTTGCTTAAACTGAAATTATTATCAGAGAATACTTGACTTTCTTCAGGTTTTAACAAGTTTCTCAGTTTGTAGAAGTTACTTAACCAAAAGAAATAAATTAGGAATTTTATTTTCTGTCAATATATCACTGTTTTTGGATTAACCATGTTTGGGACTCCACTGCACTATCTTCATTATCTGTAATATGCTATCTGTTTTGTTTTCCATCGTTGAATTTGAATTCGAATGCCCTTTTAAAAGTGAATAGGATTGTCTTGGAGGTTTAGTCATTGATCTCCACAAGCCCTGGGCATAGAGGAACTTTTCGAGGGTTATAAAAAATGTTTTCCTGTGATTTTCTAAGAATGATGAGAATTTTGTTTGTTTTGCATGGGTTGATGTTTGAATCTTATAAAAACTCCTCAAACAGTCATGAAACCTTTCCATGAATAGTAAAAACAGTGAACACCTTTGAAATTGTTCATTACAGTGACTGCCTTAAACTAAAAAGCTGATTTCATTGAAATAGTTCTAACTTCTCCATCATCCCCATTGTGTCTTATATTGCCGGCCAGACCTTTTTCCAGTCTACTTTCCTTGAATTCACCCATATCATTATCATCCTCATCATCATTATCATCTTCATCACTGTCATTTTCGTCATCAGGATTTGAACACTTTTTGTTTATACAGCTACATGTGACGACACTATCTATTGGACGACATGAGTGGCAACATAGCGGTAAAAAGTCCCAGTTGCGAAGTTTTAGTGGTAGCCAGTGTGGTCTCTTCACCTGGAGGACATTTATAACGACAGTTATCAGAAACACGAAAAAGAGTGGACCCCCAATACAAGCCAGATAAATCCAGCCAGCGTAGGAAAGACCAAACACCGCACCTGGAAGGATGATAAACATCATGAGGAGATAAAACCCAGCAAACCAGCGATACTTTGAAGTGACGTGGCCGAGAATTTTGGCCAGGGCAATTGGAAATCTCATGAATGGTATGGGGTAAAAGATGAGGACTGCTGAGATGTTGAAGAACAGGTGGCAGAGTGCGATTTGCAGGGCCTGTGACATATGGTTGCCTTTGGTAGACATGGCCGCCAGGATACTTGTAACTGTTGTGCCGATGTTGGAGCCTAGGGTCATAGGGTACATCCGCTCTACACTGACGATCCCAACGCCCACCAGAGGGGTCAGTGTCGATGTGAACACCTGGAAAGGAAATGCTTTTCTGAGTCATGAATATGTAAAAAAATGAATGTCATGGTAAGGCATAGGCTGAAAAACAAAATATATTTTTACTCTTGCTGTTGCAGAGGTAGTGAATACGGTGTGATAATGTAAGGAGCTGCATTTTTCCAGAGACAGATAAAGACAAAAACAACACAAGAAAGAAGTAGAATAAAATCATACTCTCGACGGCAACCTATATTTTCTGCTGTGAAAGAGGAAGAAGACACAGGAAAAAAGAGGATTTTAAAAATTGACACATCTACCAAAAGCAGAAGTACCGGGTACCATTAACTATCATAGTTAGATATATTTGCTAACATATCAAGCTGCAAGAATTGTGTATAAAAAAGAAGCATAATGCTCTTTTCATCCCTATTTCAAGAAAACTCCATGGGCTTCCAACAACAGCTAGAATTACCTACAAGGCTCCTGTCCATTTCCACAAAGACTGTATTAATAATAAAGCCAAATTGTGCTTAACCACAATATTTGAGGGATACAGAGTCGGTGGCAAATATTTAAAATTAAATTAAAAACATACGTCATGAAATGCCATTTGGATTGTTAGCCTTTCTTATAAATTTACAGTAATCTTATGTTCATCATGTGATGTGCATTTTATCATTGAGTTGTATTAGTATGGTGGGAAGAAGGCACTGGTGATGGATTGGACACACTCTCAGGAAGTCAGGCAGCTGCATAACAAGAAAAGTGTTGGATTGGAATCCGCATGGTAAAAGATCAATGGGAAGACCACGTGGAACAAGGAGAAGAGTTACAGAAATTGAAGTATTGAAAAATGGGAAGACATAGAATGACTTCAAGAGGCTAGCCCAGGATAGGGAAAGGTGAAAAGTGTTTGTTCGTGACCTATACCCTGATCCTGGGAGAGAAAAGCAATGATGATGATGGATAGTATGAGTATAAGTTGGGGTCAATCCAGAGAACATATGTGGAAGCTGGGCTATGCACTTGTATTTTGCAAGTATGGGATAATATGCTGTTATGTGTTTGAAAGTGTGTGTATGTGTGTGTGTGTGTGTGTGTG